ATGCTTAATAATAAATAAGTGAGGGTGAGAAAAATTACATCATTTGCCTAAGATAGCATGTGCAGTTAGAAGCTGTGAAGCCAGAACACAAGCTTTCATTCTTTCCAGGACACTGTCTACCACATGCCAACAATATCAGAAAAAGGCTGACTCTCAGATTCTGAAGCAGAGGAGAAAACTCTTATTGGTAGATATGGAATATGGGTGGGCTCACTCCCTCAGGTCACATTAAGAGAGTATCTAATTTTTTTTCTTTAATGTTTATTTTATGGAAGAGTTTCTAAAGAAAGAAGATGTTCAAGAAGGATGCATTTAAGGACATCTGAGAACCACGGATTATATCCCATTATTGACCTATTCAGAAAGAAATAGACTCCTCTCCTTCTAACCTGGAACTCATAATGGGAGAATCAGGTGAAAGCTTCTCTGCTGTCTGGAGTGAATGGAGACTGACCTAAATCCCTCTTAAACTACTGTATATTACGCTCTGAAAGAGTCAGGGAACAACTGTTTACCATTTTATGTATGAGAATCATTAAAATACTAGAAAATACTATTCAACATCTTCTCTCAGTCTTTACTCCTTTAAGAGAAACAATCCTAATTGTTCTAGTCTAATTTATATCATTCTTCTAATATTTTTTCTATCTCTATGTCTCTTTTCTCAGCATCCTTTATTTTCTTCACACTCTTGAGCTGAAGGACCCAAAGCTTGCCGTGAAAATAATTATTTCTTCCAAGTCTTGGCTATTGTGAATAACGCTGCAATGAACACAGGGGTGCATGTATCTTTACGCATTGGTGTTTTCAAGTTCTTTGGATAAATACCCAGCAGTGGAATAGCTGGATCATATGGTAGTTCTATCCTTAATTTTTTGAGGAATCTCCATACTGTTTTCCATAGTGGCTGCACCAGTTTGCACTCCCACCAGCAGTGTATGAGAGTCCCCTTCTCTCCACATCCTCTCCAACACATGTTGTTTCCTGTCTTGTTAATTATAGTCTTTCTGACGGGCGTGAGGTGATACCTCATTGTAGTTTTGATTTGCATTTCCCTGATAGTTAATGATTTTGAACATCTTTTCATGTGTCTGTTGGCCATCTGTATATCTTCTTTGGAGAAATGTCTGTTCAGGTCTTTTGCCCATTTTTTAATTGGGTTGTTAGTTTTTTTTTTTGTTGAGATGCATGAGTTCTTTATATATTTTGGAGATTAACCCCTTATCAGATGTATGGTTTGCAAATATCTTCTCCCAATTGTTAGGTTGTCTTTTTGTTTTGTTGATGGTTTCCTTTGCTGTGCAGAAGCTTTTTAGTTTGATGTAATCCCATTTGTTTATGCAAAGTGAAATAAGTCAGAGGGAGAAGGTCAAATACCGTATGATTTCCTTCATTAAGTAGTAGATAATAACAACAACAAACAAACACATAGAGACAGAGATTGGATTGGTGGTTACCAGAGGGGAAGAGGGGGAGGGAGGAGGGCCAAAGGGATAATTCAGCACATGTGTGTGGCGATGGGTTGTAATTAGTATTTGGGTGGTGAACATGATGTAATCTATGCAGAAATAGAAGTATAATGATGTACACCTGAAATTTATACAATGTTATAAACCAATGTTACTGCAATAAACAAAAAATTAAAAAAAAATTATTTCTATGTTTTTGTTTCTTCTCTCATAGCAGAGTTACAAAAATTTAGATATTTCCCAAAATTAATCTAAGAGATACAGAGGAGGGAAAGAAGTAGAAACAACTGACCTTAATCTCAAAGAACTGATCACTGGGTGTAGGAGGAAGGGTGCACATAAACTCCTAGTAACCCAAGAACAATGTTAGTGTGTAACTCAAGTGCCAGCTTGCGGGCTACATAAGTGTTTTAGAAATTCCGGAAGGCAATAGAGCACCAGGGCTGTTAAGGAAGGATTCACAGACACCGATGAATACAAAGCGAGCCTTAAAGAGTATGTAAAATTTGTAGGGGAAGAATAAGAAGGAGTACGGAAAGAAGTAGAAATGGGAGAAGGCTAGAGTATAAAGACATCTGAAACAAAGAGTTTATGCGGAAAATACATCTAAGATACTTATTTTTTTAACTTTTTTTCTCCCCAAAGCCTTATATTTATGTTGATAGTTAGCCTATCCATTATGGACGTCATCTAGATGGATGAAGGACATCATCCCTCCTCTCCAAAGATGATCCTTTCATAAATTGATCTATTTGGCTTCTCTAATTAATGAAAATCACTAATTGAATTTTAATTCTGTGTTCTTAATTAGTATTTTGATATTGAGTATACATGGAACATTAAAAAAATTGGGGCCTAGTCATCAGACTATAGAAATTTGATAGGCCGAGGACGTGGTAGGGGCTCAATAAATATTTATTGAATCAATGGAAGAAAGGAAAGAAAAAGAGAAAGAAGAAAGGAAGGTTGGAGTTTGGAAATATTTCTCATTAATTTTTCAAAAGTTAGATGAGCAGTTATTTAAATCAAAACTTAATTAGTATTTTGAATCCTATCTTTAGGTTTACCTCAAGAGTACAAGGTACACAACTGGTATATTTTTATTTTCTTTTTCAGATTTACTATGGTTCTTCACCTTTTTCTAAAGTTCCTGAAATTTTCAATAGGTAATAAGAGTTATAACATAGCAGTTCCATTATTTCTTCCAGGAATAGCCCAAACTTGAAATATCAAAAGATAGCTCAATAATAATAGGAAAAAACAGCAATAATTTGGTCTTACAATACTCTAAAGGAAATAAAAAAGAATTCCAGGAAACATCAGTTGCAGTCTAAATGAACCACTGACTTTATATAAACCCTCCTGATCTACAGAGGTAGAGAGGGGAGTGGAACAAAGAATGTGAGAAGAAATAAGTAGTTATTTACAATAACAAACTCCTTTCCCCAGGGGCAAATTATTCTGGAGCAGGAATGAACTGAAATCCTTTGCATAAGCAAGAGCTGAATAAGATAAACATTTCAGACACTGCCATAGATTTAGAAGTCCATCTCAGCATTCCAGACTCCCCTGTGTTGTTGCACATTGTGGGAAAAGGGCCACCAGCCTTGAAACCAAAGTGGCCTGTTCTCAGGGTGACCTCTGCACTTAAGAGCAGGAGAGCCTTGGGCAAGTCATTTAGTCCCTCTGAATCTGTTTCTTCATCTGCAAAATAGGGATAATTGTACCTACCTTTTAGGATGGTTGCACGGATAAAAAAGACAGTGTAAAAAGCCTAGATGTCTGATAAATAGCAGGAGCTCAATAAATTGTAACTCGTATTAATACTTAAGCAACCATAATGGGGTTCAAATTCCCCACTCCACCACGGCAAGAGGGAAAGGCCTCCTTACCTTTGTGAAGACAATAAAATCAACTTGTTAATTCCAAACAGAACCATTCTTATGGAATATCTACATGTAAGGAATAAAGCTAGAGCCAATTCTCAATTATCCAATGCAACAAAAGCAAGAAGTACCTGGAAGGAGGGAGTACATGTTTTTTTGTTCTACTTCTGCCTTTGGTTTCATCTCCTCACCTGCCATTTAACCACCCCCAGTCTCCACTCTACTTCACCTACAATCTGTCAGTCTTTTCCTTATGTCTACCACCCAGAAAACTTATTTGGCTTTCTCAAATTTTAAGAAGATTCTTACTGAAAAATTTAAGGCTCAGGAAAAACCTAAAATTCAAACAAATCACTCTATACAACTTGCAGTCCCTTTCCCTGGACTTTGATCACGATCACAAATGACATACATGCAGAGAGTCTTGGATCTGCCCGATGATGTGCAGATGGAAATGTTGTTTTCTGATATTTCAAAATATGGTTAAAATATATACAAACCACTGGAAAGCATTTGGGTCCTTGTATCAGGATAAAGGAAAGTTTCTTCTATTTTTAGTTATGAAAGACTACTATAAACCTTAAAATATAAAATATGCTTTAGAAAAATCTAAAATATCTCAAGAATAAGCTTTTTAAAAATCAAATCCACGCAGTACGCTGTTGGTGAAATCTACTTCACAGGCTGAAAAAAAAATAGCTGGGATGGGGTGGATCTAGAGAGACACTCTTTTTTTTTTATCCTGTGAAATGTTTTGTAGCCACAGAAATGGTTCTGGAAACAGTAATGGTAAAACTATTCAAAAGCTGGACTTCCTAATTGCATAATACAAATATGGAACAATTTGCAAATAGATCCTTTAACAATGTTTTTGATTATGGATATAATGGTGTTGAGGGAACAACCTCAGGTCATAGATGCTTAATATCATCAATACCCCTTTCCCATGGCCAGTCTGGAGCAAATTTGTCAAATAGTATAAATTTGTCTTCCATAAGACTGTTCCACTTTCTAGTCCTATAACCTCCCAGGCATATTCCTATTACATAATTTCATCCCTGCCCAGCACTTGTCTTAAAAACATCAACCTGATAAATCACTGAGTAGGGTAAATTAGTTTATGTCCAACCTCTTACAGAAGTCTTTGCATTAGGAAAAAAATAATTAGCAGGAAGTACCCCACCCTCAAAGAATAAATTTCTAATGGTAAATTTCAGTTACTGTGGTATTTGGGTCAGAGAAGATTTCCTAGCACAGGACTAGAATTTAGAAGGATATTAGTAGCAACAATTGCCTTCTACTTTATTTCTCAAATTTTGGTCATGAGATCACTTGTGCCACAGTCACCAAAGACACGGGTTTTGGAAAAAAACAGATTTCTGGGCCCAATCCCAGAACCATTAAATCAGAATCTCTGAAAGTGAGGAACTTATAATTTAGAAAGAGAAGACAGATGGGTAAACAAATACAAACGACCATTATTATCCCAACTTTGGAACTCATCAGATTATACCTTGTAGACAAAAGCTTAGGGTTTCCATGCATTAACTGGCCTACCTGTATCCATTATGGCATGTTAAAATAGAAATTTTATTTTAAATTTGTAGCAGTATATAAGGAACACATTTTCATCTTTTGATCTTACCAGGCACTCCAGCTTGGATCCAGAAGTTAATGTCTGCCCCTTCTCCAGCCCTAAAGACCCGTGTGATATTGATGGGCTTCAGCAGGCTCATGACCTCTTCCATGATGGCTCTGGCCTTATCACTGCCAGTGAATTGCAGCCCAGAGGGTAAGAAGGTTCCAAGGTCAGACTCCATCACCAGGCTGTAGTTGGAACTATTTGCCTAAACAAAAGAGAAAACTGTTTGGTTCATATCTGTTGCTTCTTTGCTTTCTCCTTGGGAACTATCAAACAACAACAATCAAATACTTTATTTCCTCACCAGTTATTGCCAAAACACATGGTGCTTTGCCTGACTTAGGGTCTGGTCCGCACATTACCTAACTGTTCTGAGATGCACAATTACTCATCCTGGGATTTGCCAAACTCGAGTTGACTTGGAAGGATAAAAAAATATGATAAAAGAAATATAAAGCCCAATATTAAATTTACTCAATTATTTCTACAAGCAATAATATTCTTTCAACCAATTTTCGTAAGTGCCTACTGTGTACCAGCATACAATTCCTCCAGATCTCCAGATTGTGTTAGCCATGTTCAGAAAAAGAAGGTGTGACCAGTGGACCTATTTCTCTGCACTTCTTTTCTTTAAATAGATATTCTATCTTGTTTCAATTTTGAGTTCTGCTGAAGCTTAAAGCCATCAAACTGACAGGTTTGTCTTGGGTTTCTGATTTTGTTGTTCCTCTGTCTATTGAATCCCCAGGGAGGGAGGTAATAGAACAAAATATGAAAGGCTGCTCTCTCTGGTATACAACCATGGCACTCCAAACCCCGGCAACTCTGCCAGGCTGCTGCTAGTCTGTAAACTCTTTCCAACTGAAGTCTGGTAAGAAAGCACACAGTGATTTCCTGTAGCCAATGTTGTCACTGCACGAGCTTAGAATATAAGAGGCTTTCACCAGGTTGCACAACTAAATTGCCACACAGTCCTAAGACTTGCAAGTTTAAGGCCCTTCAAACTGGCCAGGCCATCTCTTTCCCAGGAGCCATCCACTTCTTCAAGACTGACTAACTAGTACCTTGGCTGAGTTATTCCCAAGCTATCCTTGGATGGCACTGCCTTTCATTCCTCATTATTCACCTAGTAAAAATCAATAATAACATTTGTACAGTGCTTCCAGAGAGCTTTCACATTTGCAATCTCCTTTGATTGTCTTCTATAACCCATAAAGTAAAGGCAGCTTTATGGTTGATGCTATTTTATAGAAAAGGAACTGAGGATCAGAGAGGTCAAGTGATTTGCTCCAAGTCACACAGTAGGTAAATGGTAGAGCTGACTCTGAAATCCTATGCTTTCCAGAACTCCACATTGCCATCACTAGCATGGGATGGAGTGATAAGTAATGCTTGTTCTGAATTAGAATGATTTTTCACTTACATAACAATTTGAGGGTTGTATAAGTATTTTTTTTTTCCTAAAACAGACTTCTTTTTACAATGATTTCTTAACTATCACCATGGAAGTGCACTGTTATTACAAGGGAAAGAGCAATGGCGGAGTCTAAAGGAGGATGTTGCCAGCATTTATAGGACTGAACAAGGTGGCCCTGGGATACTAACATTTTGTTATTAATGATGAGAAGGTTAACAAAGCATAAATCTGCATATTTCCACTCTCACTTTTAAGGAATTTCTGTCTTCATGGTGATTTTCAGAGACAGACTCAAGGCATTTATAATAAAAAGTGTCACCTCGGCTTTCAGCTGTGGGTACTGAATGGTGGTAGCATCATTAGAGTTAATAATATGCAAAATATTTGCATTAATGTCTTACAACAGGGCTTGTTTCACTAGCACATGGATGCTAGGTCAGCAGGTTGACATGTAATTTGGCGGTCCTAACCCTCTCCCCTTGTATGCCCTGCTACCTCCCACCCTAAACTCTCTCCCTTCCCTGTAAAAAAGAGAAAAGAAATATCACAATATATCTGCAAATAAAAACAGAATTGGGTAACTTTATAAGTAAAGGTTCCCATATTGCAGGCAGATCCCATCCTTCCAACAAGAAAATTAGGCAAAGTACCCCTACTTGTGTTTTATTTAGGTTAAAAGTGGAGCTAGATAGCAGTTTGGCTGTTAGACCCAACCCTAAAGAGCAGCCTGGTGAGGGGGACACAGCCCTGGACCCACTCTATTCTATTCCTGACTCAGCAATTGACATGCTGGGCTGCCAAGGGGGATGACTGGCCTCTCCCTCCATCCCCAAGTCATGTCTCCTTGACCTCTGGCTTCTCCATCAGTAGGCTGGGACAAATGCTCTTTTCCAAAGCTTGAATAATGACCCCGCGAGTAAGGAGCTTTGAGTACCTTCAAAGAAAAGACCTCTGTAGACCAAATTGCAAGTGGTTGCATGAGTTGAACTTGCCAGGGCTTCTAAAGAAGTGTGCATTAAGGGCTTCATGGCCCTCTTCAACTGCAAATGAACAGATGTCCTAGGGACAGGGGACTCCACAGTCTGTGAATACCACTGTGCAATGTCACAGGATGTTGATAGGAACATAGAAAATAACACAAGTAAAGGAGCTTTCAAAGGTGTCGTATGTTACACATGTGGCAGCCAGTTTAGTAGAGAGATAAAGAGTATGGGTTTTGGAATTATTCAGACTGGGTTTGATCCTCAGATTAGCCAATTATTGCCTGTGTGACTTTGAGTAATCTGTGTAATCTCTCAGTTTCTTCCTCTGTGAAATGGGGATAATAATGATACCCAGTTCATGGAGTTGTAAGAAAGAGTGTGTTGTCAAGCCTGGCACATAATTAGCACTTGATAAACAACTGTTACTGGTCTTACCACTAAGCATTAGTACCTCTCAGATTTTCAACGATGGTCTCCATGTAAACCATTCTATTGGCTGCTTATAATGATGATAGGTAGCATTTTTGTGGTGCTTCTTACATGCTAGACACTGTATGAAATGCTTTACAGCTTATCCCATGTAATGCTCACAATCATTCTATAAGTGCTATTATATTTCTCATTTCACAGATGAAGCAACTGAGGTGTAGTCAGGTTAACCAACTTTCCCAAAGTTGCCTCGTAGTAAGCGGTGCAGCCAGAACTCAAACCCAGAGATCTGCCTCCCCGAGCCTGTGCTCTCAGCCCCTCTGCGGCCCTGTCTGCTGAAGCTTACCTCCAACCGTCAGGCCATAAGGTCTCATTTTTAATTAAAAAGTACAGAGACTCTAGTGAAACAAATGTAGAGAGTTTTAAAATTTTTCTCATGATGATATTACAAGGTCTACTTGGACAGAATTTATTGTTCCTGCTAATAAAATAATTTGATTAAGCAACGAGGGGAATAAAAAAACAAAAACAAAAAACCTCTTGCTCCACCATTTCCTTCCAACTAGGAATAAAAAGCCTAAAATAATAAAACATCTTTTCGAGCCGAATTAGACAGGATGTGCAGATGTCAGTAAACCAGAATTCTGGCGTAGGTAGAGACATGTTTGATTTCTATTCATGTAGAATTTTATTAGCTGCTGCTAACATGATGGCAGCATTCTATTGTTTTCTATTTATATATAAACATCTCCATATGTTTTCCATAAAAAACTAAGAAAACAAACCACCCACCGTCCATAACACTGCTTTTTCTCCTCATTTATGGAGTCATTGTCTAATTGTTAGCACATGGTGAAAGAGCCGGGAAAACAAAACATCTCTGCACAAAGAAACTGCAAGGAATAAGCCGGGTCACTGGGCTGTTAGATCTGCTGCTTCTCAGGAATGTGTCATCACAAACATCCGTGTTCCTTACTATGCTGTGAGTCATGGGGGACACAGTGTAGATTTGAAAACCTGATTAGAGCTGGTGGCAGCAGAGCAGAGCCATGCTGGTTTCACTCAACCCTTTTAGCACACATAACAAGATATCTGTCCTCCTGTTTACAGGGTGTAGGAAGAAACCTGCTTCTAGATACTGAATGCTTTATTGCTGAGATAACCAGCAGTGACTGAGACAAGCGGAGACATATAGATGAGGAGGCTGGGCAGCTCAAAGATAAGCTCAGGTATTATCTATAGACCCCCCACTTTGCTCTCTTAATAAAGAGAAGCATCTCTTTATTAGGAGCCATGGAAACTGTTGTTCGTTGCCACGTAATCTACACAAGGCAATGTAGAGAAAAGCTCCCAGGTCTCTTCCTAGGTTGGGATCATTGGATCAGTTAACATCTGTACAGCGTTGAGGATTCATAACTTTCTCTTGTGCTAAAAACGTGTCCCATAACACTTCTTTTCTTTCTTTTAAGGGTCAGCTTGCTCTGCCAAAGAACAATTTGGTAACCATTAGCATTCTTTGGGTGCAATGCAAGATTAAAAAGAAGAAAAGTGTTTAAAATACGTATTGCATGTTTTAAAACGCTTACTTCTAATATAAACACAAGGATGATGTTTGTATTCTTTGCTTTTATAAAATTCCAGGCAATTCTTCTTCAGAAATATAGACCCAACTCCAACAATATCTCCTCTACCCCCAAATTTGGCTTCTTCTTTGTTTTAAAGCTTTTATTTTCTTATAACCTACGTGACATGTCCTTGGTTTTGACCAAAAGTGACATCGCAATCCCAAAATCAAATGAAGGGCAAAAGAGACTCCTAATTATTGGAATTAATCATGTAAGTCCTCAATTCAATCTTCAAAGAAGTAAACCCCGCCCTGACACAGGGCAATAGTCTCGGTACCACTTTCCTGCCCCAGTAAACGTTAATATCTTACAGGTGATGGTGGTGATGCTGTTTGGTCAGGTGGTAGGCTCAAAACAAGTTTTCAGAAGCAAACCATCTTATGATATTGTGTGCTGAATTGTTGCAATCATCTTTTCCAGCTGTGCCAGTGACCCTGGAATTCCCAGGTCAAGGGGTAGAGCTGGGGTGGCTGAGTGTTCATCACAGAGCTTCAGCTCAGACAGCTGTCATGATTGGATGATAGGTAGAGAGGTTTCTCCCCGCTGTGCAAAGCCAAGAATGCGTTTTACTTTCTGGTTAGGTCTACCCCGAAGTTCATACTTTTGTTTCTGACAGTCTCTAGCATTCAGTTTTGAATAGCCTTGAGTCCCCAAGGGAGAGCCAGGAAAGGCATGATGACAAGGTGGAGTGCCATAAGTTATTTTTATTTGACAGCTAAACTGGCTGCAGCTTGGGGAAATGGGCAGTCTT